AAAGAAGTACTTAATGGAGAAGAAAGAAATAATAAGTATATAAAAATTTCTATCAATAAGTAAAGTTGTAGGAAAAATTGTAATAGTATGATGTTTGAACAACAAGTAAACAGTAAGTGAAATTACACTGTGGAGGTCCATAATAGTTTAACACATGAAACTGTAATATACTCATTTTTAGTATGGATTTCTCTCCTGACTAACTCTGTTGAAAAACATAAATACAGCTTAAGAATATATTATATCATTTACAATCCTGATTAGTTGAAGACAAGAAAAATTACATGCCTCCGAGTTTGACTTAATTAAGATTTATTAAACAGTGCTTGCATGATTTGCAAAATAATTTTGTCCATAATAAACATATTAAGTTTTTTTATGTTTATGTTCTGTTCATGGGAGCTTTATATTAGATGTTACCTATCTTCCACAAAATATTTCAGAAGCAGTTGCATAAGATAATAAGTTATATTCTAAAGGAATTGGGGGAAAACTATTTGAAAGGAGATTTACTTAGTGTCAAAAAGAGAAGGATTAAGGATTGTTTAACAGTTAGACTATGACATTTTACCTTAAACATAAAGACATTTATGTGTACTTCACAGTGGTAAACTATATTTTATTTACCATTCAACAGTAATATTGATGCTATGTGAGAAAGTATAGCACATTCTCTCACAGTATTGATAAATTAAACATGTAATAACAGTGTGCAACTTATTACGCCAGACTTGTTTGACTGGAACATAATGTGAAATTTCCAATAATTATTTTAAGGTACATAACATTTGAGTGTGAAATCTCATAGTAGTTAGTAAAAATGGTGAAATATTTTCTGTTTAAGGGTATAATAGATATTGAAATGTTTAATGTTATTATCTTACATGTGATCCACTGAATTTATGAAAGAGGCATGATATGTTATATATGCAAATGGCAACATTTGGATTTGTTTATGTAAGGTGATGATGATATGTATATGTGAATGGTGATGCTTGGATTTGCTTGTGTAAGGTGATAATGATATGTATGTGTGAATGGTGATACTTGGATTTGTTTATGTAAGGTGATGATGATATGTATATGTGAATGGTGATACTTGGATTTGCTTGTGTAAGGTGATAATGATATGTATATGTGAATGGTGATACTTGGATTTGTTTGTGTAAGGTGATAATAGGTATGTATATGTGAATGGTGATACTTGGATTTGTTTGTGTAAGGTGATAATGGGTATGTATATGTGAATGGTGATACTTGGATTTGTTTGTGTAAGGTGATAATGGTATGTATGT